GATAAATACCGTTTATATGTTTCTCATATATTGCTTCTTGATATATGCAGATATGAGATTTTCTTATCCATGTTAGCTTGGAATATGACAATATTATATATTAAGTTCCTCTATTTAACCAAAAATTCTTCATATAGTTCTAATATGACTAAGACGAATGAAAGTAGTCTGTCAGCTATGTGAGATAAGAAAGTTAACAATATTTTTTGTAATCTTTGTATTATAGAAATTGAAATAGGCCAACCACGTATTTCAACAAGAACTGTTGGCAAAATATTGCAAAAAGGTTCAAAGAATTGATGAGAATGGATTACGACAGGCTGAAATTCAAAAATAAATAGGATCAGTTGAAGAAAGAGTGGAAAACTAGGAAGGGGTTGAAACGTGGATCTGTCAGTTTGGGTTGGGATCCCATTAAACGAACAATCGATACTCTAGATGAATTGTGGGTTAAGAAATTGGAGGTAATATTTACACTCTAAATCAGGTTGGGTTGGGATCCCATTAAACGGACAATCGATACTCTAGCTGAATTGTGGGTTAAGAAATTGGAGGTAATATTTACACTCTAAATTTGTTTATTGTCATAATATTTTGGTTTAACAAATAATACCTCTAAACCCCCTCCTCAATATAATGTTACAGGCAATATCGAAAGTGAAAAAATATAAAAAGTGCGGAGTTGAGCTGGACTTTGAAGATAAACTTGACATAACGTTTAAGGGGGTTGTCGCGACGAGAAAACATGCATTCAACCTTAGTGAGATGGGGTTTATAGACATACACGATGACTTCCCACCTGAGCAGGTGATAGATAACGAAGAAGTGTGTAGTATTAACCAAAAGGGGATGGGGGAGTCCAGTTCACTGTCAAAGAGACCCAGGCATGATAGGAGAGAAAGAAAATGATAATTTTGTGAAAATCTCATTCGATCGACTCATTGATGGTTTTGCAGTTCCACCACCTGCTACACTCCTAGACAGCACTATCTTAGAATGTGTTGAAGCTTTGGATGCTCTTTCTTACCAATATGCGATTTCATGCAAAGTGTGTATAAAAACTTGAGGATCCTACCAGTAGGCAAATATTCATGGTAGCAAATACTTGTATCTTAGCAGCTTAAATCATTAAGTCAGAGGATCCATCAGTTGCTAGTACTCCAGAACAAATTGCCAACGATCTCCGTTACATGTCTTATTTCAAGGTAACTATTACTTTATTCATGTTACTTTCAGAATATAATTAGTTTCTAAAGGTGTAAAATAGAACTGTATAGCTGCAATCGACGGTACTTACATTGATGTCCGACTCCCCAGCTACGACAAGTTGGCGTACATTGGTCGGAGTGGTTCAATTACTCAAAATATCATGACAGTATGTGACTTCAACATGTGTTTCACTTTGTGATGGCGGACTAAAACTGGAATGCACATGACAGTCAGATTTTCTCCTATGTAACTAGGAATAGATCACAATGTTTCCCTCAACCGCCTTCAGGTTTGTTTTGTTTTGTAAACATACTATTTATATGTATTATTTATCATTAACAGTGTCTTTCATAACAGGAAAATATTATTTGGTTGAAGTTGGATATCCTATACATAGGGGCTACCTAAAACCTTCTCTGAACACCAGATACCATATTCCTGATTTTGAGAGAGCAATTGACACCTTTCGTGGCAGAAAATAAATGTTTAATAAACCCCACTCCTCTTTACGCGGGGTAACTGAAAGAACATTTGGGTTTTTAAAGAAGAAATAGATTATCCTACGTGATATGTCGTCGTATCCATTTCAAAAACGGATGCATATTGTTATGGCCACAAAGATACTTCATAACTTCATCCGACGACATCCCTCTCAATCAGATACGAACTTCAATATTGCTTACAATGATGAATTGAATGTCTCTGAAGAACTTTAAAATTTGTGATTCGGCCTTCATTATTTGAGAATGAGATAGACTCTAATGAATTTGAAATTCATAACGGTGAAAGTGTGGCTGAGACGACTGCTTTGAGGGAGTTTATCGCAGATGCTATCTGTGGCAGCTGATCCACCAAGTCTTATTTATTTATTATAATATAGGTTTATTTCGTATGCATTACGTTTTGTTTTTTTTTTTTTTAATTTCTGGATCTGATAATTGGTTTCCTTTTTTTTGTGGGGGAGAGAACAACTATAGCAACATGAGTTCCAGGATTTCGAGGACCAACAGAGTTGTCTTGTGTTACTGCAGACTACCGGCTCAGTTACTAATGTCACGGCAACCTCACAGCAGTGAAAGACAGTTCTACGGTTGTCGCATGGGCGTTTCAGCTCGTCTTAGTTTCTTTTGTTGGGCCGACAGTCCAACACATTACACTGTCAACAGTGATTGGGATACAACGATTTACCGTAGTGACAGTGCAGCTAAAGACAGACTTAGTCAGAGTTTTAAATTGAATGTTATAATATTTCAATTGGATATTTTAATTGTAGTTGTAATTGTATTTATCTTTATTTTATTTCTTCTAATATTCACGAGAGTTTCTCGATAAATTGAGTATTCCATTACAAATGTTTATCAATTCCAAGATTGACACATGGCCATAGTTGTGATAAAGCTATTAAAATATCTTGAGAGAAAAGAGTCATGGTACTATGAATTTAAATTTAAAGGGTTATGGTTTAATCTAGGGGTATAAGTGACTCAAGTTGACTTGAGCTCGGCTCGATAAGTGACCAGTGAACTAACTCGATAAGAAAACAAGCCAAGCTAATGCTAGCCCCGCCTCAACTCATTAGCTCGTAAGTCAGCTCGTTTATAAAAATATTAATGTAATATATACTCAAAAATATATTAAATTTGAAAACTTTATCTTTTAAAGTATCAAAAATATATAAAAAATTATAGTTTTGTATTTTATATTAAGTGGTTTTTATTATTTTTCTCCTAATGGCTCATTTTATTATAACACAACCTTAAATTAATATTATTTTTTCTCTTTTATAATAAACAAGTCATCTCGTGAGCCGACTCAAATTCGTAAACTTAAGCTTAAGCTCGAACTCGATAAAGTTAAGCAAGCTCAAGCTCAAAACGAGGGTAGCTCGAGCTCGACTCCACTCTCTTACACCCCTTGTTTAATCCAATTGGATACCGAAAATTTTGTTTAAATTTCAGAGTGAGAGATACCTTTTACATGTATGATACTAAATGCATGAAAATAAAGTTATTCCAAACTTATCGAGGCTTGCTAAAAAGTTTATAATAGACAATTATAAAGTTTCTAATATGATTGTGATTTAATCCCACATCTCCTAGGAGAAGCACATGCAAAGGAGATTTGCATTTGCCCGCTTATGGGCCTAGTGAGTTAAATTGAACTTTTATAAGTCAAAATTAGGCACATGGTGCATCTTGGGGATTGATTGCTTGATTATTTTATTTTGAAAGTTAATTTTTATTAATTTCAGATTAATTATAATTTTTATTAGTCAACAACCGTGGCTTTTTAAATAGGTTCAAGAGATGGATGCACCTAACTACTAGTTGCAGTTGATTAAATATTTAAATTATAAGTTGCATCTTCTCATCAGTGATCCTCGAAAAACATTTTAATCAATAGTTAGTTCAACTCATACGTAATTCTTTGTAGGCTAAATAAACCATACGTGAAAGTTTTACATGTAGTTTTTCACTTGAAAAAGTTTAATTAGTTTAATTTATCCAGAAGATAAATTCCCTAGTATTATTTCTTGATGAGAAAAAATCTCTCTTTCAGGGATGTAATCCAACATGTCTAATAGCAACCACTAAAATTTAAAATTCCTCAACAATTAATGCACCAACTAATTTATAACTTCATAACGAGCCGATCAAATCAATTTTTTTTTTATTAGTATTCAATTAATAGATATTTTTTGAGAGAGTACTCTTAGATGGTTTGGTCACATCAAACGTCGACAATCTTATGACTCTTAGATGGTTTGGTCACATCAAACGTCGACAATCTGATGATCTGATTAGGAAAGTAGATGTTTAGATTTGACTTACATTAAAAAAGACAGAGGTAGACCTAGAAAGACGGGCATATTGTATAAAAAATTATCTTAAATTATTATAATTAAATGAAAATATGACAATAGGATGCAATGAAAAAAAATTATTCATGTAGCCGACCCCGCTTAGTGGGATAAAGGTTTGTTGTTGTTGTTGTTGTTGTTTGATTAATAGATATAATCAAAGATGCTACTTAATACAGGCTTACATCCCTTGATTGGTACTTAATAGCCCAATTAAATTTTATAATTTTGTAATTAGTGATTAACAAATCCTTGACTTATATAATGATGACATCCAATAACTAATTAATTAATCAATCTTTAATCATTGGATGTAATCTTCCATGCTACTTGAATGGAAATCAAAAAAATTTCCTCTTGATATTGTGCTTAAATAATCAATGCTCAATGGGAAACTCATATTAAAAAACAATTAATTAGTACCTTTGGCTGAATTATGATAGCCTTAGAATAATTAATCTCCTCATCAATGCTTGCTTATTCCTCTAAACTTCCCTTCTACATAACAAACCACATGCTTGATTACTATCTATATTACTTTTAACAAAATTAACAATCCATTCAATGATTAGGGCCTGAAGACAAAATTATAATCATTAAACTAACCCTATTTACAAACATCTAATATTCATTCAAACAATTTTCCACATTAATAGGCATTACAGATTAAAATCCAATTGATTTATGTATCAGAACTTAATCAGCATTACAGATGCATGAATATAGGATTTCAATAGTTGAGATAAGAAACGCAAAACAGGATCGATTAAAAGAAAACTTATGAAAGCGACGGCAGTGCCCAAGTTCGTTCTGATCCACAGAACCAAAAAGAATTCATTCCCCGCTTGATTTCAAAATAATATAGGAGAAAAACATGAAATCCCAACAAAGACCAACAATCCAATGCGGGATAAGGATAGATCATACTCACCACGGCGGGCTTCTCGGGATGCCCAATGTCGGCAAGAAGATAGGTGTAGGTGGATGACTCCTTCTCAAAGAGCTGCCTAAAGAGAAGCCTTCGCGATGTCTCTGTAGCGGTGATATACGACATCATGGTCACCGATCGCAGTTTCGATTCGAGTGAGAAGGCTAGGGTTCGCCTAGACCCGAAGGGAGTGAAATGGGAGAGAGGACGGAGGCCCCGATGGAGGGAGAGGTGGAAGCGAAGCGGGAGCATAGTTTCTATCTATGCCGCGCGCAATTCATGCTGACCTCTGCTTCGGATTTCGTGGGGTGAGAGAGATGAGATTGACAGACTCTTTCTTCTTCCGTGAGCTTCGAAGTAAATATATGAAAAATTGGCAGTTTCGAATGATCGGGATTCTACGAGGGCATAGCGCGGCGGAGGAACGCCACCGGAGTTTTGCCGGAATCAATTTCTAATAGAAGGTTATAGTGATCAAGCTTGATTTTGTGGAAAAAATATGTACTCATGTAATAGAATGTTATAGTGATCTAGCTTGATTCATAAAGACTAGCTTCCAATGAGTCACTTGTATGATCTTATTCCGTCATACATTAAACTATTTAAATTTTGCATCTAGTGGCCCCGTAGGGTGACACAAATATTATGCATATATGTATCTCACTAAATATTATGCATGTAGGTATCTCAAACACAATGTGCCAAAGTTTTGGATGTAATTCCCCGCAGTGACTGCTACGACTACTCTCATTTGTTGGACTTGAAGAAATGTTGCAACCCTTTTCCACTTATGATAAAACGATTCATATTTGTAATAAAAAATTTATAATGGCGGCTTGGCCGCATGGCTTTTTTCCTTTCATGATTTCTCCATGTGTTTTGGATTTTGTACTGTGTTGAGACACTAATTATTACTTCACCACCATAGATTTTCTAGCATGCAACAACACTTAATCAATCTTTAACACGTGCGAGTGTGCAATTGGTTTTCTTCGACAGACTAAACTAAAAAAAAATGCAGACACGAATCACGTGAAAATTTAATTTATTTTCTAATAACACGTCAGCCCGACTAGCACCAATGATTTAATAATGACATAATAATATTATAATTCTATACACAGACACCATAATTAAAGCATATGAGTATAACCTTAATACATCCGCCGATATTTATATGCAATTATGAAATTGTGATAATGAGATGCATAAAAATTATAAAAATAATAATAAATACTGAAAACATAATACGAAGTAATTAAACATTAGTCTATTTAACAATAAAAAAAGACCAATTACATTAAAAAATAATTACAAACAAGAAATAAAACAAATTGCAAAAACATTAAAAGATTTTAAAAACATGTCTCACAAACTTCAAAAAAACTATGAATCCAATAAAAATAATACTATTCTCGATCGTTCGATAACGATAGAACATTTCTGTATACATAAATTGTCATTAGAGAAACATTTCAATCCTTTCTCAAGTCTTTGTACCCGTAAACTTATAATGAATCATTCTGACTTGACTATATCTGGTATTTTTTTCTATCACAAAAAAATATTTGATTTCTTCGCTTGTTATTAATTTTAAAAGCAAATTGTATTATATTATTATTTTTTATTTTTATTTGAGAATGGCGAGCTTGGTAATACAAACCATTTCCCCAAAGAAATAAACCCTAATTGGAGCCGCCGCCTGCACCTCCACCTCCCATGGGCTTCGACGTAGGCATCGTCCCCTACAATCCCGATGGCTGGGGTCCCCCAGATACCCCCGCCATCCCCCTTCTTCCCCGCCGCGCCGGAGCTT